AACAATAATAATGAAACAATAGTTAATACCTATATAGTGATAATTACGTGCCGGAAACAATTCTAAGTGCTATACTGCGTACATTAACTCACTTGAGCCTCATGATAACCCTATGAGATAAGTACTATTATTATAACCATTCTATGGATGAAAAAACAAAGCTAAATAATTTTCCCAAGATTTGATTTCAGGCAATCTAGCTCCAGAGTCTGTGCTCTTAACCACTATACTTCACTGTGTATATAAAACACTCAATACAATTATTGGCATTACTATTCAAACTGTTGAGATATTTTTAAAAACTACTTGAAGCACATATTCTTTTTCCAAACTCGACGTTCTCAAACTTGAATTTTCCTGTTTTTCATAGAAGATTCACTTTAATTTTGGAAAGAATTAGATGAGGATTACAAAGGCATGGCTTATCCATTGTCCCAGCAACCTGTCCCAATCCAGCTGTATACTAGCTCATAATACGTACATTTTTATAACCATGGGTGTGCACACACACAGGCCCTTGTTGTATATATAATACTTTCACATGTATTATCTAATTCCCACAATAACCAGAGTTGTGATTACTACCCACATTCTACAAATAAGCAAACTGATCTTTCATTTCCTTGAATACTCCTCCTGCTCCAGGGTCTTCAAACATTCTGTTGAATCTGCTTGGAATGATTTTCCCCCACCTCTTTCATGAACTACTTCCCATTTTTCTTTCAGATTTCAGCTTGAGCATCAGAGGATGCCTTCCTTGGCCATCTTCTCCAGTGCAACTTCTAGGTCAAATGTCCTGTAGCCCACTTTCATAACACCCTATACTTTTTCATAGCACTTACTTTAACAACATTAGTTAATATTTGTGTAGTTATTTGATCACTGTCCCTTCATAAGACTAGAGGCACTACAAGGACTGTTCTATGGTTCTCTTGTTCACTGTTTGTTCCCAGTGCCTAGCAGTCCCTGAACACAGAAGACATTGAATAAGTGTGATGAATACCTGAATGGAAGTCTAGAAAGATTAAGTCCTTGCCCAAGGTCACAATGCTAGCACCAGAATTGGAATCTAAGCCTCAGAAAGTGGGTCCTGTGCTCTACTTCCCAATACTGCTTCCATTACCTCTTGGTTTGCCAGATTTTCACTTAGAGATAGTAAAACATGTTCTTCTCTAAATTCAGTGCGACAGAAGGGTATTTATACCCTGACTACGCACAGAATCAGGTCCCTGGCTCAGCCAAAGAAGGGATGAGACCCTTTAAAAGGTGGAGACAGAGCTTTTGCCTGAGAGCTAGGAAGACTGGATTCCAATATAGCTATCCCATCACTCCCTGCCAATCATCCTTTTCAGAGTCATAACCACCCTGTATTCAAAAAGCATTTGCAGCAGCTCTACCACTCACTTGTGACTTGTATCAAGTTATTTCTCCTACCTAGGTTTTGTTTCCTCAACTATAAAATGAAGAGCCAGACCAGGTTTTCATTCTTTCCAACTATAAAGCTCTCCAAGATTCTGAGAAATGCAATAGAGTGCGGTGAAAGGAAAAAGGCACCAAACTGAGAGAAGACCTGTGGTTCCAGCACTGCCTAGGTATCCGACCTTAAGTGGATCAAGCTCTCCGGACCTCTATCTCATCTGTAAAATGTAGATGACCATACTATTTCAGGGACACCTGGGCGATCAAGTGAGATAAACGATTTGTAAATAGAGAAGGGCTATTGGCAACTGTTTCGCCACTGCACGGCACAGAGTAGGGCTACAAGTCGAGGCTTTGGAATTTGAGCTCCATCACTTACTAGCCGCATGACCCTGGTCAAGTTATTTCTCTGAGCTTCCGTTTCTTCATCATGGGGGATAATAATACCTACACCCATTGGATTGTTCTGAAAATTAAATGTTCCTGCCAGGTAGTGGGCTACTAAACGGCGGCTACTATTTACTAAGCCCCCTCCCATCCTCGAAGTTCCCAGCTGATGAGACGAGCCCCGCCCCCAACCCGTGAGACTCGCTCTGATACGACAGGTCCCGCCCCCAGCCTTAAAGGTCAAGGCGGACTCGAATGGAACGCGTCGACGGACAGCGGACAGGCCCTCTAAGGTCCCCCAGAGTCCCTGAGTAGAGGTCTCTGGCACGCGACACCACGCGCGCCTCGAGGCCGTGCCGACGCCACTCACCAGCTATCGCCCAGGGTACTAGGAAAAGACTCGTGCGACCGCGGCGACGGCGGCGGCGCGGGCGTCATGACGTCACGGGGCGGCGCGGGCGTAGCGCGTCACGGGCGGCCTGGCAGCGGGCGGCGTTGAGGCGGACGTGTGTAGACGGCCGACAGGCCGCGGAGTTGGGACCTGCTTTTGGGGCATGAGCCGAGGGGAAGACGCCGAGGCCACGAGGTGAGTCCGGCCGCGACCTACCCCTGCACCTCCACGCCGGCCCCTCGAGGGTTCACAGAGGAGGCTGCCCTAGCAAGACGGGTTCTCAGGCCCCGCCCCGGATTGTCCCGCCGCTGGCCCGGAAATCACAATCCGAGTAATGACCCATCGCATCTGGGAATTCGCAGCCAGGAATCGGGAAGCCGGGATTCCAGGCTTGACCCCGCTGTTACCGTTAGCTTTTACGAACAAGTGCCTTTGCTCCTCTGAACTTCAGTTTCCCCGAATGACTATTCCTGGCTTCCAGGGTGGTTGCAGCCCAGCAGGGAGGATAGACGGAAAAGCGTTTCGTGAACTCTGTTTATCTAAAGGGTTGTCGCCATTGCAAACCCAAAGGATTTTGGTAGTCGTATGCCATCTTGATCTCTTATTACACTTTACTTTTCCTCAAAAAGCGCTGTGCTGAGCTGTCACAGATGGTGTCTTATTTAAGCCTCATAACGACCCATGAGTTAGGGATAATTGTGCCCATTCTAGAAAGGAAGAAGAAACTGAGGCTCCGAGTAGAGAAGTGGCTTGCTTCATTCATTCCTTCAGTAACTATTGAGCACAAGCCATGAGCCGGGCAGTGTACTACGTGCTGGGGATAGAACCATGATCAAGATAGGCAAGGCCTTGCCCTCTGGTAGTTTACATTCTAGTGAAGGAAACAGAAGATAAAACAGTAAATAACACATTGAATTAGTGTTATATGGAAAGGAAAAGGTAGATGTGATAGAGACTAACAAGGAGCTCTGTTAGGGAAAGCTTTTCTGAGGAGAGGACACTTAAGGAGGGATCATGACATACTAACGTCACACGATAACTGGGTGCAAAAGCCAGGATTTGAATGCAGATCTTTTGGCTCCATCTCCTGCACTCGTCCCACTAAAAATGGTACCCTCCTGTAGCTATTGCTCTCATTGCTGTTTTTAGACATGAGAAAATCAGAAGGTCCTATCATTCAAGTTTCCTCTCAAATGTCATCTCCTTTAGAGGCCTTCCCGCTCCACAAATTCTAAAGTAGTCCAACCCCAGTCTCCATGTCAAATCACCTTGCTTAATTGTGTTTGCAGTACTTAGCACAAATTACATCATTTGTTTATCTGCTTTTGTTTTGTCCTGCCCTTCTTCCAACTGTAAGCATCCTGAGGGCAGAGACCTTGCTTGTTCACTGCTCTGTCCCCAGTACCTAGACAGTGCCTAGAAAATACAAACTCAGTATATTGGTTTTGAATGAATGATCTGTAAGAAAGGAGGAGGAAAGGAAAGCAGGAAGAAGACAAAATGTTTCTCCTCCCCTGTTTCCGCTCCTGGGGTTCTGTTTATGTCTTTCACCTTTCTCTCAGGAGGTGAGAGCAGGGGCTATGGCTTATTCGTTTCTCTATTTTCATCACATAGCGCAGGGTTTAGCGGTTGGTATTTGCTTGTCACACATTGCTGAACAGACTGAACATGTGAGTGGGAAAGGAGATGAATATACATATGTGTGAGGGTAGATAAACACATTCAACAAACAATTACCTAGGGGCTTCTGTGTACTAGACTTTCTAGGCTGTACTGAGATGAATAAGAGGTAATGGCAGTGTTCAGTATATGTCAGCTGCTGTTATTAAGACACAGTTCCTGGGGGCCGGCCCAGCAGCGGTTAAGTGCACGCGCTGGATCCACTTCAGTGGCCCAGGGTTCGCAGGTTCGGATCCCGGGCGCACACCGAGGCACCGCTTCTCAGGCCATGCTGTGGCAGCGTCCCATATAAAGTAGAGGAAGATGGAAGATGGGCATGAATGTTAGCCCAGGGCCAATCTTTCTCAGCAAAAAAAAAAGAGGAGGATTGGCATCAGATGTTAGCTCAGGGCTGATCTTCCTCACAAAAAAAAAAAAAAAAAAAGTTCCTGCAGCACTGACCTCTGAGGCACTTCTGGTTATATGGGACACTTGTTTTCTCTAGCAGGGTGTTCTGAAGTCTGACACAGCCTGCCATCTTCTCAGCCCTTATATCTTTTCTTTCTCTACCACATTATACATTTATTAAAGCTTTATTTTACATCTATCGTCTCATTTTTGGTCCTCTTAGCAACTATAAGTGATAAGCAGGGCAAAGTTTATTATGTAGAGACGAGGAAACTGAAGCTTAGAGAGAAGTGACTTCCAGTGGAAATGCCAAAATTTGAAACCAGGTCTTCTGACACCAAGATTTTTGCTCTTTCCACTACTGTCTCATCATAATCCTCATCCTCCTTTTTTGGCTGTGAGATGAGACATTTCAGGAACTAAGACTAGTAATAATTTAAGCTAACGTTAATTGAATGCTTCTTAGGTGCCATCCGCTGTTCTTAATGCTTTACGCGTATTAACTCAGTAAATCCACACAGCTCTCACGAACTATTATCCCCGGTTTTACAGGTGAGGAAACTGAGGCACAGAGTGGTTAAGTAACTTGCCCAAGGTTACAGAGCTAGTGAACGGTGGAACTGGAATAACTAAGGAGGAAGTTAGTCTCTTCTTCCCAGTCTCTCCCAAAATATTAAACATGGTAATAGCTAATATTTATTGATGACTGACTGTTGTTAGATGCAGTGTTTACTGATTTTTCATGCTCTCTCTTCACAACAGCCCTGTAAGATAAGAACTGTTATCTCCATTTATATATATGAGGAAACAGAAGCCTAGAACATCCAGGTAATTCACCAAGTCACACAACCTGCTTTCAAACCCAGTTCTAACTCCGCAGTCTATGGCCTTAAATTTCCTATATTGCCTCTGCCATAAAGAAGAGAGGTACTGCTGCTCTCCCCCACCCATCCCCTTCAGTGTCATGAAGACTCTCTTTCTGGTGTTTTCCAAGGCTTATTTTGGGTGACCATTGTTGAACTGGAGTATCATGTAGTAATAAAGACTTTGGCCTCCTGCCCAGTCAGCCTCTGGCTTCAAAAGAGGAAAACTTTAGTTTCTACACGCAGAACCACGCCCCTTTCACCGTAAATGGAAGCTTTTGCGCTCTGGCTGCCGGAGGAGCTGTCCCAAGGGAACCGGTGCTGGGGCCGTGGTTGTGGAATGACTGAGGCCTTTGAAGGACTGCCCAGGGCATGCCCTCCTTGAGTAAATGTTTGTTGAATTGAATTTGAAGTCTCGTGTTCACAAGTGTTGCTCCTCTCCTGCCTGAATGTTCACATTTCCTTTAGTATTTCGTAGAGATTGATGGAAGCAGAAACCAAAACTCTTCCCCTGGAGAACGCATCCATCCTTTCAGAGGGTTCCCTACAGGAAGGGCACCGGTTATGGATTGGCAACCTGGACCCCAAAATCACAGAGTAAGTCTAAGTCATCTTAATTCATTACCTACAAGATGGGGATGTTTGCAGTGATGATGTTCAGAAGAATTTTCAAGGGATGTAGGATATATTTTGGCTCTTTATTTGTGTTTTGATTATCTTTGAGAAAGGTGTGATGTTATTAATAGCCTATTATCTTGTCATTTTTTTTACTTTTGAGCTCTTCTGCAAAGACACAGACTTGGATATCCTTGAAACCATATACTTCTTTTTCCTACTACCAAAGATGTTCTCCAGTTTTCAACTATATGAATCTTTGCACCCAGCGACTAGAAAATTATTTTCTAGAATCAGCCTTGGGCATACTTTTATTCCTCAAAATGAAGGAACAAGCAGAAGAAGTCACAGTGCCTTCACAAACAGGCATAGAGGTACCGCTTGACTCTAATTCATGTTAAGCGGCCATAGAACTGTAGAAGGTCAGAGCTGGAGGGAATCTTAGAGATTACCCCAGTTCCTTTGGTTTTCATTCATTCATTAAATGATTTGAGTGCCTACTGTGTGCCAAGTGCCATGCTAAGCAGTTTTTAAACTTTAAATCTGAGGAACCTTGTCTTAAAGTAATCAGAACCTATATATAAAGTAAAAGCTCAGAGCTGCTCTAATTAAAGGAGGAAGAGGTACCCCCGAAGCCTTTTGGAAAGGCTGCCACCCTTTCTTTAGAAATCACTTATAGGGCTCGATGGAGCACACTTGAAAACCTCTGATATGTTCCAGCTGTCTTATCCTACAGTAGAGAAAACTGAGGCCTATGAGATGTAAGTGCCTTGCTCACGGTCACAAAACTCATTGAATTATCCTGACTTTGCGTTCTTTGCATTG